CCCCCCCCTACAAGAGCCCTACTGTTCCTTGTATCCTTAACCGCCGAGTGGCCAGGCATATAAATGAGCATCAAGCCCTTACAGGACATACCGACAGCAATGGTCTTAAAGCTATGGCTATGGTGGTTCGAACGGCAGTACGACGTTAGGTTATTGTGTCGGACTTGCAGTATCTGTGCCAAAACTAAAGCCCTCCGCAATCGATGGCGTCCGCTTTTCCAACAAGCAGACTGGCATGGGCGAAATCGGGACGTTTGACGAAACGCGGAAACGTAGCCGCTTTATGTGCGTGATCGTCGACTATTCCTCCGCACTATGATAAAATACCCGGTGATTCAAAAAAAAATGAGGGCCCCACTACAGCAGCAATAATCAACAAATGGATAAGTCGTTACGGAAGGCCGTATGTTAACCACGGTGATCAATAGCATTGTAGAAAACGATCTTATAATTTTAAAAACAGATGAGATAATCGGAGCGTGCGGTCAATCAGTCAATAGCGGACTTCTGGGACAGTCTCTTGCCTAGGCGTCTACTGGCTTACAGTGCCATCATCTAATTTTCTCGTCGTCCAATAACCCCATTTAGTTCCTCGGTCGCGATCCTCGAATACCCTCAGAGCTCAAAATCGCCTATACTACTTCCCACCCCGCACAGTTTTGTCCGCTTCTCGCAACCAAAAGGAGAACATAGACCTCCGCGCCCGCGGTTAGTATTAGTCGACCCAGGGCACAAAGTACGGCACAGGCAGCGGGTGTCAATGCAAAATACTCATCCACCAGTTGATACAGCAGGCAATGTTTACTGTCAGCGATCGGAAGCCAAGACCGTCCTCGTCCCCTACAATTCGATCAGAAGCCGAGTTCTCCACCCCAAAACACTCCGAATTTATTTCACGCTCGCAAGCACGCACTTCCAAATTACGTCGTAATTACTTCTTTCAGACCATTCCTGCGAACGACAAACGCGACATAAAGCACACAAACACATGAAAAGGGGAGTGGAAAACTATTATTTCTAGTCCAAAGTGGATAAGTACATGTAACACGAATACGTTTATTGAAGAAGACGGGTGAACGATGCAGTAGGAAAAGGGACAGTGCTATTGGTTGTGAGGTACAATCTTCCCTAGTATCATTTTATGTCTATGGAATGTATATAGAATCTCTATTCATAGAGATACATAGTGATCAGTGATAATGGCGGCTTACGCTTGGCAGTGGATCTCTTTTGTGACAGGATGACCCATTTATTACGTTTAACTCCCCCCCTTCATTGATAGTAAACTTAAGTTGGAAGACGATTATTATTATTATAAAAATTTACTATAGTAAAAAATCTATCAATATATACAGTGGCGCTTCCTTATCTGTCCACTCCACGACGGTTAATGTTCAGTCTGTTGTTTGGGGCCCTCCGATGTCCCAGCGATGGCCTCTACAAGTCATAAGTACATGAAGAAGTTATAAGTTTACTTACAAGTCCGCGCATTTTTATTATTCAACCTGGCCTCTCGCTGTTCGTGTTTATTGAGCATGACTCGTAAGCGATGCTTTACGGCATCCTCCAAATCGGAAACTTTGCAATTACCATCTTGATTCCAAGCAGCGAAGAGGTCTAAACATTAAGAAGCTCGTTGATATTAGGAAACTTACCCAATAGTAATCGGTTAAATTTGGAATTCTTGAGGCTTATTTTCGATTACTTTCCGTGAAAGTTGATGTACAAGCTCATCTCGTCGTCGAAAAATGCGGCAAAAATGCGTTTAACAAACTCCTGATGACCGCTACCACCGAGACCATTCAGGTAAGAGTGTTTGTAAGAAATTAAACACTCACATGTGGCCTATCTTAGGTAGGGTAATTCGACCCTTCCGGAGCGGTGTGTCCGGTAGATACTTACTATGGAGGCAGTAAGCCTTCTGATGTTCGTGAGTACTGTAAGTTAGTAGTAGATGAGTTAATTGCTCTGCAAGGCAACGGAATTGTAAACGACGACGGCATGCGGAGTACGCGGGTGAACGTGAAGGTTATAATATGTGACGCTCCCTACAGCGCACAGTCCCCATAGTGAGTGGTTCACGAGCATTGCAGGATAGAAGTGGTCATAGCTAAAGGTGTATAGTCAACGATCCCACTAACCCATAAATAACTCCCTTTTTTCCTGTGCGATTGTAGATTTCACGATGTCCCAGCGGCCTCCATCACAACGGCCTAAGAAGTCAGCAGCCAACAACAAGGATTTTGTCTACGGAAGGGATGCTCAAAGATCACCAGTAAATCTTAACAATAATACTTTTCTGCTTTTTAAGACCCTGAGCCGGAAGATGTGTTTGAAAGAAGCGACGACACACTGCCTACTGGCGACAACGATGCGGATGTCGCCGGTGGCAGTCCAGAGACCGGCGACGGATATTTTCTCTTAAGTCGTCAGCTCGCTGATTACGCCGCCGAGGCCAGGCGGAATTATAATGATCTGACGGACCGGCTTAAACGCCTGGAATTTATGGCCAGCCGGGGTAATGCTCGCCAAAGGCAGCTCGAAGCGCTAATCCGCAGCAACAGATTGCTAGCCCTACGGTTAATCCCATCATCAGAAGCAACCCCGTTGCTGACCCTCTAAAAACAGCTGCCGATTTCCGGCAACTGAACGTCCGCTTAACGGATGAAATTTTCCGAAAACAACTCGTAAGCAACACATTTGGCGATTAATACTTGCATTAGATCGATTATCTCAATGGCCTCGGCGGCAGCACTCTTCCGGAGTTCGTTAAACGCATCTTCGGGGCGATATTCGATGACGAAATCAGCATGTACACTAACTATCTGGGAAAAAAATCTAAACTGAGCCTCAAAGCTTCAAACTTTTTCAAAGTATTTTTGGGTGAGTTTCCTTAAATCAACGACATTCTTAATGTTTAGACCTCTTCGCCAATTGGAACCATGATGACAACTGCAAATTGTCACATTTGGAGAATGCGGTTAAGCGTCGCTTACGAGTGATGCTGGATACCCATAAACAGCGAGAGGCAAGATTACATAAGAAAAATGAAGGGAATGGTAAGCAAACTTATAACTTCTTCATGCACTTATGACTTGTAGAGGCCACCGCTGGGAGATCGTTGGGTCCCGAACAGGAGAATGAAGAATAACGGTTATGGACGGAACAAACAACGAA